TTTTTAACGCTATGGCTCTGAACAAAAATGGATATTTCACGTATTTCCGTCAGAATAACAATAAGTTTGTTTCAACAGCTAATCTGATCATTAGAAGGACGTGAGACGCATGCGCATTGAAAATAGTGCGTTCCTACAAAGCTACGGATAATTCGATGAACTGTAAAACACGTTGGAACGTTTTACTGATTCGTACATGAATGAATCGGCGGATCATCAAAACGATCAGAACTGCATCGCTTGTACAAGTAATCAGCACATACTCATTTGAACGTCTCTCTCGTTCGTGCTATTTGTTGGTCAAAATTATACATTCACATAGATCATTCGAGACAGCTAAATAAATAATGTATTTTAAACATGATTTAAAATACCTATTCACCAAACGTGTATGGTTTGTCCAATTCCATTTGCAGTTTGCCCCCCCCCCCCCGTAAATGAATCCGCCCCCCACCCCCTTTGGAAATCCGTTAAAATAAAACCTTTAAAATTTCTAAAAAACAATAGGTTTTCCGTAGTTGCTTAGTGGCAGCCAATCAGAACATTAACTAATTGCGGTTACTTAAACTCATTTTTGCATAATCAATGAAATGATATATTTTTTCACTTATTGATAAATTAATTTAATTGAAATGTCTTGCGTATTTTTATGACACATGAATTTACTATCTAATTATTACAGGCTTTTTCCGGTTATTTTGTACAACCTATTGCAGCTCCTTAGTAAATGTTTAGAGGATAAATTAAATATATGACGTTTGCTTCTTCAGATCAATCCAAACACAATCGTACTTTCCATTTATCATGGCTTAGAAAATACGAATGGTTGGATTATGTAGAAACAGAAGAGAAAGTGCTTTGTAAAATATGCCGTATGAGGGCTAAAAATATTATTTATCCGAGCTCATCATCAAGAGAACAAGATTCAATAAATGCATTTATTATTGAAGATTTTAAAAACTGTAAAAAAGCATTCACAAGATTTTACACTCATGAAATGTCTAGTGTTTACAAATTTTACGTACAAGCCTACACAAACTCCGAAAAACAAGTGCATGTTCTTACAAATATATCAAAAGCAAAACTAAGTGATATTAAAATGTCGAAAAGCTTTGTTAGGATTATTTTCTAGTCTAAGGTATTTAGAAATTGGTAGACTCGCAATTCGAGGATACACAAAGGATAAATCTAATTTCGTAAGACTTCTTTAATTACCAAGTGATATTCCTGAATTAAAAACCTGGCTCCAAAGATTTTGCATCTATGTATATAGTTAATCACTAAAATTTATTATACTTATTGATTGTAATGTATATGATATATGTACATGGTGAACGTAACATAAAATGTTGCAACGACATATCTTCACCACATTATGGGGACCTTCTTTTTAACCAGGACGTCTTGGTTCGGCCTCCCCGGAGATAAACAAAACCCGGTGCCTATGATCGCTGATAAAACAACGGACCATTAAACGAACTGACATGCACAGTGATTAGTTTATTTTATTACCCCAGTGTAGGTCAAGTAAGCAGTGAAGGTCTGGTCGTTTTATTTATTTTCTTTTTTTTTGTACCTGGACTCCACTGAGTCTGCTGAGGGTGTACTCTAGGTGCACCCCAGGGCCGCAGAGTAGACTGACCAAAACTGGTGCCTGAGCAACCCTTGTTCGAAGAATAGCCTAGCGCCACCCCAACCCTTTTCTTTATTTTTAGGGGTGAAGAAAAGGGTGTTACACTATAAACGATTCAGAGACACATCAGAAAGAAACTGTTGGAATGAACCTAATATTATATACGACCTAGGCTACAGATACTCGACTGGTTTATGCCAAAATCTAGGCCTTAATGTTTTTATGCCACCTTTCCTGCCAAATGGTCAACGACAACTGAGACACAGGCTAACGAATCTTGCTAATAATCCACATAACTAAGAACATGATACATTCAGTAGATAGGTACTCACCTGAAACAGGTAGACACGAAAATAAAAGGTGGATCTATATAACTAAACTGTAATTCAATTTTAAATAATTAAACTAAATAAACTGTATTTTTTTTGTTAAGAAGATTATATTTTTCTGTGGTTTACATTTTCTTACAATATAAACCTAACTAAAAATTGCAATAATTACTTTTTTGACAGACAGACGACGTTGACTATAACATAAAATTCACGATATAATGGTGACGGTACTGAATGACGTGAACGTGAAACAGTTTGCTATGTTGCCATGTCCTTCTTATCATTTTGCAATAATTAGCAATTAAAAAATTTTAAAAAGGTATGTTCCGGGCCGTTTTAAAGTCTAAAATTTTGAGAAGTCTTTTTTTTATTATCTATAAGTAGTAAAAATTTTATTGACATCGGCCATTGGCCCAAAAACGATACCCTTCTTTGCCCTACTAAAGTTTAACTGAAACCTCAACTAACGTAGTATTTTCAAAAAGTAATGATATTTTGTGGATATTCTCACAAAAAAAACTATTTTTAATTTTAATTTGCCACATTTTAAATAAATAGTTATGTTTTCAGAATAATACGTGTAAGAGAAATATCGTCATGGATTTTTCTAGATTTCTCTACACCTCCATATATTCTACGCCCAGTCTACAGAATGAAAAAGTAGGCCTTTATGTTCTACTGGACGAATATAATTTCATATCCATTCCAGTAAGGACATTATATGGATATGAAATTTACCAATTACAGTTCATATTTAGTGATCGTACTACTATTATTTTTTTTTTATTTAAATACTAATTAATTACTACTATATATTCTACCTCCTAACTAAGAGCATATTATGGTATCCATATATCACTAGAGTGAATTATGATAATTCACGCTTTTGTAATTATGGCACATTCCGGTAGGCGACTAGAGATGGGCAATACTTTTCAAACGATATTTTCTAAAGTGCACTTAAGATTTTGTGATTTATCACATGATTTTGTCATAAATATTTTAGTCATATGTAAAATTGAAATCATACCATTTTCTTGTGATAAAATCATGTGATAAATCACATATTCTGAATTCCACTTAATATTGATTTCAAATATTATATCGATACGGTGAATCGATACTTTACACAGTATCGCCCATCTCTATAGGTGTCATGGATTATTTGATTTTGACGTGCTCCTGTCCTGAAATTTAGTAATTTTGAATTTTGAGGTTGGAGTCAAATATGAAATGCTGATAATGCTAATAAGTTGCTGGAGATTAATTCGGATAGTGATGATGAACTTTCTTGTACACCACAAGAAATAACAGAAGCGGTGAAATTAACTGCTGCCAGAAAAATCTAAAGTTAATTACATGTCTACATATCACAGCTTTACGAACTGGAGGATTGCGAATTGCATAAAGTTATTTAATAAAGAAATCATAATGGTCGTGGACAAAGTATAGTATTACACTCGCAATTTATGGCCATTTTTCACTCGGGTGAATAATGACTACCATAACTTGCTCGTTTAATAATATACTATTAGTTATTAAGATTAAATATAATTAAAAATGAGATCCTATCGATCCCAGATTTTTATCTATATTTTCAAATAATTTATAAATTTTAATGAAACTAGAACGACTATTAAAAATAAAAAAAGCAGATGTCTTCTTGGCGTAGAGGTAGATCCCAACTAACAAAATATGTTTAATAGTTGTTGGAGTAACTATAAAATATATTTTTTTCTACACCCACATGGATATTAGCTTATTTACGCACAGACTACAAAATAAAAATGTATGTCATTGCGTTCAACTGAACGAATATATTTCATATCCATTTTAAATAGTGAGATCACTGCAAAAAAATGAAATCCACCAATCACAGTTCATATTTTGGACATCTTACTATTATTTTAAAAATTTTAAATACGTGACAATCCTGTCAAACTAATTGTCAGTATATTTTTTAATTATTAAGATTAAATATACATTAAAATAAGTTATTTTTGTGTAGAATCGATAAATAATTGTAAATAATAGCATTTCTATTTTTATTTGAACCATATTTTGAGAAAAAAAAAATAAAATTTTAATCAAACTATATGAAACTATTTTAATTACGAGTAATTAAACCAAAATCATAAAAGTTGACGTAGAGGCATGGACAGAGTGCTTGACTTCCACGCGAAAAGCCGGGGATCGATTCTCGGTTGTTGACTATTTTTTTTTTATTTTATTTTAAAAATCAGTAAAATTCATAAATTATTTTAAAATTAGTTATTTTGTCTTAATAACCTAAAATATTTTTTTAATTTGTAGATTTCTGTTAGTGGATCGTAGAAAAAATATACTGTACAACTCGAGTGGATTGTCCATATCGCACTACGGCGTCGTGCCCAAATTTCGTCTTCGTGTGCGGTATGGCCATCATATCCACTCTTGTTGCACAAACTACTATATAAGAAAAATTTTGTACCATATCATTCCTTCTTTCTATAATTAAAGAATATTAATTTAAAATAATACATTTTGAATCAATACCTTTAAAAACATTTAAAATTTTGAGTTAATCCACTTTTGAATGGGATGTGCGAAAATACTTATGCATGCGCCTCCCAAAATACAGAAATTTTAATAATAATTACAAATATATAAATAAAAAATGAAGAATATAATATTATTTTGTAACTGTATCTTACCATCTGTTATGTTCTAGTTTTGTTAAAAAAATATTGATTTTTAGTTCAAAAGGTAAAAACATATTTCTTTTTACGAAAATAAATCTAAAAAAAACAATGGCTTAATAATTTCAAGATAGCTAACCTTATAGCTGTGATAATTATATTTTTAAATAGCGATATTAGAGATGGTAAAACTTATTTTTTATACTATTTACTTGATTAATTACTAATCTTATACAAAAAAAAATATTTTTACTGTACCAAAAAATTTAATTTCGTACTTTTCATTTCATATTATGAGTATTACTAAAGTAATAAGAATAATTTTTTAGTTATGTTAGATTTATATCAGTAAGTCATTTTTGTTCGTGCTATTCTTCATCGGCAGATGTAGACTCTTGTAGCAATGTCAAATAAGAGTAAGCAGCTTTTAACATCTAAAAATAAAATTATTATAAGTTAAATGCTTAAAAAAAAAAGAAACAAATTATTTCTAAATATGTAATTGCTTCCGTAAAAATATAAACTTCAAACCACTCAACTAATACCCACATAAAACCTTCATGATATTGTAGTTCCAAACTATCGCAGTAAAATTTGTCTGAATATAACGACAGTAGGGCAATGTAATTTAAAATTTTATTAGGTAGTATAAAACTTAAAATACAGATTTTACAATCAGAAGTTAGAAAATATCAAACACTCTCCCAACTGATATGGGTAATTAGTGTGAAAAATATTAAATATAAATTTATTTAAAAAATTTCTGATTTTCAAATGTTTAACTTAAATTACACCAATGTATTTTGCTTATTCCATTTTATAATTAGAGACACCGAAATCATAATAGAAACTTTAAAAATTGGCAAATAATCTCAATCCTCCAAAAGGAAATGTAATTTCCTACTTTTTGTCGTCACGATTTGGGGATACTCGGCTCATTCCATCTGCTGACCAAACGTTGGGTCCAGTAATACTTTGTTGCCATATTTATTTTTTGAAGACTAATTAAATTATTAGATATATACTAAAATACTGAAATGATACATAGTAACGAGAGTTGTCAAAAAAGCTAACAAGTAATATTTCTAACCGATTGGTTTGGATACGGGGTAGAGCTAGGGTAGTGTTATAATACGTTAAAAGAACTCTTGATACTAAAAATGATATATATTAAGTTGCAGAACAATTACGGGATGCAATCATAACATCATATCACAATAACTTGGACTGAAGTGAATGGGTAGGACACCAAACTTGCCAAACTCAGAAAGAAAACACGTAAACGTTTTAGTAAGGCTAAAAAGAAGAATGAGTGGAGGGCATACACCGAAACACTCACAGAGTATAACAAAACTCTTAGAAAATCTAAGAGGGATTCATGGGAAACACTCTGTGAGAAAATAGAAAATACAAATAAAGAATGCAGACTCCACCGCATTCTAGCAAAAGATCCAATAAATCCTGTGAGGACTTTAAAGACCCAAATAGGAGAATACACTAAAACTGGAAATGAAAACATTAGAACTACTTCTTAAAACTGATTACCTTGATTGCAAAACAAACCTGAATGCAGCAAACCAAATTCACAAGAACTGAAATTCTTAAAAAAGAGTCTCCAACCAAGTGTGGAAAACTGCAAAACAGAGAAAGTAACATGGGCAATACGCATCTTCAATCCATACAAATCACCGGGACCATATGGGGTATTGCTTGTGCTTCTACAACAGGCAATAGAAACACTGGACCCGCATATTTGTAGGCTCTACAGGGCAACTTTAGTGTATAAACAAATCAGAGTTGTTTTTATACCTAAACCTGGGCGTCAAACACATGCCGTGGCAAAGTCCTACAGACCAATAACTCTGACGTCACTTCTAATGAAAGGATTAGAAAAACAGATTGATCAGCATGTCCGGCAAACTACTCTGATAGAGAGGCCATTTCATACAAGCCAATATGCCAATCAATCAGGAAAATCTTGTGAGTTTACTCCGCATTATCTTGTAACCAAGATAGAAGGAGGATTCAGTAGCCAAGAAATAGTCCTAGGAGCATTTCTTGACATTGAAAGAGCTTTTTATAATACCTCCTTTAAATCAATGGTAGCTGCCGCTCGCAAACATGGAAAAGAAGAAACTATCTGCTGGTGGATGAAAGACATGTACAGGCACAAATGTTCAGTGAAATCATGCAGGTGAATACCCACAGAGATTGCCCACAGTGTGAAGTCCTTTCCCCTCTACTGTGGAACCTAGTGGCAGATGAACTGCTGAAAACACTGAACAATCAAGGGCTGTACGCTCAAGGATACACCGATGACATAGTAATCTTTCTCCGAGGAAACACCAAACCACAGTCTTTAAAATCATGCAAAGAGCTCTAAGGGAAAATTTCTTGGTAAACCCTGATAAGACACAACTTGTAAACTTTACTCGCAAAACAAGGTTTGAGGTCTTAGAAACTCCGACTCTGTTTGGATGAAGGCTAAACAAAACGAACCAAGTAAAATATCTGGGTCTAATCCTAGATATAAAACTTACTTGGAACCAACACTTCTTACAAAAAGTAACCTACAAATTTAAAATGTCATCCATTGTAGAGAGACGGGTATTTCGAAAAAAATGAGGATTAAAACCGAAAATGGTCCACTGGCTATATTTGGCAATAACAAGACCCATGATAAGCTTATGGGGTGGTTGTTTGGTGGTTAAAAGTAAACCAGAAAAGAGCCCTTAATACCCTTTTAGGAGTTCAGAGGCTAACATGTCTTTGTATTATAGGAGCACTGAGAAGAACACCAACATCTTCTATGGAAATAATTCCAAACCTCCCACCACTTGACACAAAACATACCAAAATAAATAACCATATATTAAATATAGGATCTGATCACATGCACCTCGCTTAACCATCAACAGATTCTTCCAGGTCAACTGCAACTGGAACGAGATAAAAAAGGAGATAGAGAATTACTTACTTAGCGGTCACGTATGGTATAAAGATGTATCTAAAACTAACAAGGGAACAGGCTCTGGCAAACATGAAGTTAAATCCAAATGTAACATCATCATCTCTCTGGAAAAACATACCACTGTATTTCAGGCTGAAATACATGCAATCGAATTATGTGTACGGGAGAATTTAAGAAGGAATTACAAAAAACAAACCATCCTAATTCTCTCAGATTCAAACAGAATAAAGTCAAAGCTTTTCTAGAACTGCCTTGGAATACTAAATGATCTGGCAACTCACAATAAGGTAAAACTAGCGTGGGTACAAAGGCACAAAGGTGTCCAAGGAAATGAAAAGGCTGATGAACTCACCAAAGAGGGATCAGAATTACCATTCACAGGATAAGCAAAACCTCTGCTCGAAAGGCATTGAACGGGTGGACAACCACAAAGCCCCAAATTCACTGGCAACAGATAAGAGGGCACATAATCAGTAAGTGAGATCAAACCAATGCATGGCTACTGAGGCACTACAACTAGCAAGGCTTTAGATATCCACCATTCTGGGATTACTGGGGTACTGATTGCTGAAACACCGTCATGTGATAAGATTACACAATGATTCCACTACGTGTATATACTCTGCATGGAAGAAGAAGAAACCTCATACCATGTTATCTTTGAAAGCAAAGTTCTTTCTAGGCGGCTTCTCATTCTTTTCATCATAGAACCGGAAAAAACACCTCATGGAACTTATAAAACTTACCAAAGACATAGGACTATTCCAAAGATAGTACCTGAAGCAGGGGAATACAATAAACCCAAGAAGCCGTAGTGTTCTAGGCCAAACCTAACCTTACCTGTTTATAACCGACAAAGATAGAGATAAAAATATTTCTAAAAAAAGATTTTTATGTACTAATTATGCCATTCAAATGTGTAAAATTCGTAATTCTGTCCAAAAAATATAATATTTATACCGAATATCATTTATTAATCAGAAATTAAAATAATTTAATTTTGAGGTTCTTGTTTTTTATATTCAAATCGACTATGTACGTAAATTAATTTACACCTGGGACCTTATGCACTAACTTGTGGTCTAGAATTTAGCTTACTTAGAAATGTTCGATACATGGAAAAGTATCGTAAAATAAAATGTTCAGTTCGTTTCGTTTTCTTTACAAAAATTGTAATTTGTAGTTTTTTTACTAGTGGATAAGTGATCAAAATGAGTGTGTTTTTAACTATATTATTTTTATTAATGTCTAGTTTATTACCACTCTTTACAGTGATTACTATTCCAACATTGGTTTAGTATTCGTTAACAATTTTTTTCAATGTCTTTATTTTTTAATCTTTTCATTCAGTTGATAATTTGATAAATTAAATCATTATCCCATTGTTTCATCTTGCTGGCTGCCAGGTGTCAGCTGCCGGCTGCATTTTTATTAAATGAACATTTTCTAAATAAACAATTATTTATTTTATGACCGATAAAGAAGCTTTTAGATTTTTGTCTACTACCAATAGGATTATTGTTTTTTTTTTTATACAAAATGATTAAAAAAATAACGTTTTTAAATGCCGTCGTCTTTTTAAATTATATCTGTTAAATTTTGAGTTTATATATTCAAAACGCCTTAATTTAAATAAAAACACTCAAATAAACCGATTTAAGATATAAAATCACTCGTCCCGCCGACAGTTTGTTTTCGTGGTTTTTTTAAATGTGGAGGACTCATCGTTTATTAAAAAGTATTCAATCTTTGAAACTACTGTTATTAATCTACAATTTTTTGATTCCCTATGCTTGAGCGATAAAAAAACATTTTTTTCTTGCAACCCACAGTTTATTTACGTAGGTATAATTATGAAAATCTGACCAATTTCCACCTTCAATCAATTACTTCCTACAACCTACTTACCGTTATAAACAAGGCATAATTAAACGTTCCCAATGGTAAAGAACTGATGGTCATAGGTTCTTGAGATCTTTGTAACATAAAAGCCAAGTCTTTCCTCATTTCGTCGCTACCCGTGTGCCAATTTGAATCGTAGATCGCATCAGATATAGACATACTCTAAAAACGTAAAAATTATCAACGACATTTAGTAAACGTATAATAAGTTATGACAATAATTATTACTTCGAAATTTGTTGCCTTGTGAATTATGAAGCTACAAAACGTCAAAAAAGTTTCTCATAATAGTGCCTTCCTTGTTGAAATATCTCTTTAAAAAACAATAACAACGATTTTTGCGTATATTATATAATATTTTTGACTGTATTTTGTGTATGGATTTACTTACCTCGTCCCAAACTCTTTGGCCAGCATGAGACAAGCAAAAAATTGACATAACATAACCTCCTAGATATATTGCAGCTCCCAACGGCTTGTACTAAAAGATTATATAGTTACAGTCATGAATAAATGTAGGAACAATACATTACTTGTATGGAAAAACTATGGAAAATTGTCGGAAATAATGAAATTTTAAATTTTTCTATACGGGTTTTATTGCAGTTGACTAGTTTGCTTAAAAATGAATGTGATTGGACCAAGCACAAACGCTTCAGCTGTCTAACGAGTTATTTAGGGATATAATTCGTACAAGAAAAACAGTTGGAGTTGGCCGTGAAATCCAAAACGTTTGAATTTTTTTTTAATAGTTTAAAACTAATCTAAATAATTTCGTTAACACAGTTTTTTAATAATATTCATTCATATATAATGAGTTGGTGGCTAACTGAAAATCCTCACTTTTTTTGAATAACTATTGCATCCCCACAAAATTGATATTTATTTTGAGGCATAATCTCTCAATGAGATACTCGGCTCATTCATTGATCAACTGAATGATGAGGAATTACAAAATCGATTTTTCGTATTAAAAATTAGATTTTTCAACACCAATTCATAATTTTAAAGAACTAAGAAATCGCATAACAGAAATGATCATCAACTCACTGCGGAGAAGAGTTGGTTTGTGTTTAGACATAAATAAATAATATTTTTAACAATTTTGATTATGATTTCGATATTAATTAAATTATTTATCCCATTCTTTTGTTGCAGTATCATTTGGCGATAAAAAACTTTATTTACAATGAAAATCTCAAGTAATAAATGTCATTCAGTGGAAGTGGCTGAAGTAGCAACCCAAAACTTTAAAATTTTACAGCGAACTCCAATTAACATTTTTTTCGGTGGCTCGTTTAAATGCGACAAATTACAACGAACTTCGGAACACAATATTTATATAGGGTATCCCGTAAGTCGCTAGCCATGGCTAGAGATCGTATTCCGTTGACAATTTTAAGCCGAATGTATCTTATACAATTTTGACCAAAACTCAATAGTTCATGAGCAATATTAAATTTAACAGAAATCAATCTGAAATATGATCTTAAGCTATAGTCATAGAGTCGCGGGATACTCTATATCATAAAACTGATCGGAATAATAACAGTTAAAGACAAGTGATTTTAATGATGTCGTTATTCGTTTCAATTTTATGTAAATTATTGTGTTATTTTTAAGCTTCTAAATATGTTATTCAGTGGGTTGTTTAATTATTCTGTGGAAAAACTAAAATGGGCAAATAGAAGTTAAAATTACCATTTAGTATACTATATATAATAGGAGTACTTAATGCCTAAAAGATTAGGATCCACAAAATTGCCTAACATTAGAAGGCAAAACAAGAATAACCAGCACAATTATATACTTGTAAATATAGCTAAATAAATATTTATATAGAAAAAATGGTGTAGAAATAATAATAATGATGTAATATTTTTTTCAAAAACTATTAGTTATATATTAATAGGATAATTATTTTACCTTTTGTACTACTTGATTACCAATCATTCCCATTACTACAGCTGCAATTAATGACATATGTCCAAGAGTAGTTTTTATCAAGTAATTTAAATCATCACCCCATCTAAAAATTACAAAGAAACTTTATTATTTATCCACAATTTTGGTAAAACACTTTTTTTCTGGGATCTTCTAACTTAGTTTCCGATAACACTAAAGCCCAATGGCTTATTGTATTTGACTCATGTTAATTCATACTATCCACTCCGTTACCTTTGTCCCTCATACAAATTTGTTTACACCCTTGATTAGGTGTGATGTATAGATTCTTGGATCAACCTATGATTTTCCAAAAAGTGGCTGTCTTTTGCAGTATGTGTTTGCCTGTTTATGATTCCATATGACAAATTCAATACAATGGGTCTTCATTATATATACATGTTGTTTAGGTATCCCTTTACTAGGGAATGCCCATTCATTATTTCTGTTGTTTTCAACTGATTCCTATTTATAGAAGGTAGTTTTATCTTTTGGAAAATTTATTCAATAATGGTGTAGTGACCCTACGGTAACGTATCAAATGAAGAAGGTAAATAACTTTAACTTATTTTGTCTTGCGAGTTTGACACTATTTTGCTATATTCAATAGAGTGTACATTGTGTGCAATGTGCATGATAACGAATTGTCAGACATTACTTTCTATGTCTTTGAGCAATTTACGTAATCAGTAAAAGTTAATTTTTTCTTTATTACATCAAACTTTACTCCTTTACTTTTTTTAGTACATCTATATTTTTCACGTTCCAATAAATATTAATATATTTTTACCACAAAAAAGTTTTAAGTAGAGGCTTTGTTGTTTTACCTGTACTGACTAAAAATGTAATAACAGGTAGAATTGTATATACGGGGCATCCAACAAAATATAACTTAATTTTTTTGATGGGACACTATATATTATTGTAATTTTAAGTAGACTTGCATTTTCTGATTACAAATATATATTCTTTTAATTATTTAGTGACTTATTGCACTATGCAAGCGTGACATATAGTCGGCTATGAAAATAATTATTCCAAGTTTATTAAAAGTTGTTAATTTAATGCTTGTAATGGGTTATACTGTGGCCAAAAAATATGAGATTAAACAAAAAAGCTTTCACTTGAAACTTTTTTGTGTTTACAAGATTAATTAAAATAAGTAGTGGTCAAAATATAATGAAAAATCCTGTACAATTATTGTTTAATTAAAATTTTAACTTTAGATTTGGTCTATATATCATATTTTTAACTGCGCACTATATTCCCAAGTACTTAACAATCTATTCAAACGATATTTCCTTATATTCTTCATTTTCTTACCGTACATCACATTAATTTTTAATTTGTTTTATTATGATAATCTCTGTTCTGTTGGATATTTATACCTCAAATGTAATGTTGCAGGCTGATATACTTACTCAATAATTGAATTGTGATATCTAACACAAAACCCTAGCATCTGCTTCCTGGTATTCTCATCTTCGTGTTTGAAAATATCAATTACCTTCTTCTTCAATCGATTCATGTGACAAATCAAAAATTCCGCCGACTCGAATGATACGAAAAATAAATTACCAGCTCCCACGCATGCCCATATACATACCGCGAGTTGAAACAGAAAAATTAGTTTGATGGTAATCGATGGTATGTCGCCATCTATCGGAAGTGTAATTTGGGTTAGGGTGCCGCAGAAGTTGTTATTGTCGTCGTTGACGTCACATTTCGATTCTAAAATCGAGATGCCTGCGTATACCTGAAATTTATTGTACTGATATACATAATTTGGAAAAAAGTTGTTTTACCCATTATCTTCTTCTACAAAATCAATAAATTGACGTCTTCAACGATACCTGTATCCCATGTGATCTAATAAATCAAGAAATTTAATGAAAACGACCATTCTTAGTTACTTTTATGATAACTTAATAGTCAATTGTGTCTTGCGTCAAATATGTTAAAGATATTATTTTAATATTGCTATTGAAGTTGATAGATTTGTTCCAATAAAAAGTTAATGTTACTTTTGGCTATGAGATCATTAATTTTGTCACATAAGATTCGGATATTGTTGAAAACCGAAATGCTCTTGACTTACGCACATTCCTCCTGAAATATAGAGGCTATACATCATCGAAAATAAGTTGCATCTATCTTTGATTTTGTCAAAATCTTCAGGCTTACCGAACGTATTAAAATTAGTTAGAGATTCCCAAAGTTTTACCCAATGCTGCCATTTCATTTTGAACAAAGAAGCACACATCAAAAACCCCAAACCGCCTACGGCTACAGCCATATCTTCACTCATTTCCGCTCCTTTATTACCTAAAAAGAAAAATATTACAAAATACAAAATAATACAATATTTTGAAATATCACAAATTAGTCGGTCGGAGCAAACTACCAATTTAAGTTTATGTTAAGGTAAAAACAAGTAATAAGTTAAAAATATAAAAAAAAGAAAAGCGAAAAAGTTGAAAGACTAAAAACTATTAGAAAATTATGGAATGCTTTCAAATAAACAGTAATGACGATATCATAAAAAATCTGTAAAAAAATTATATTTAATATACATCTAAAAAAAAAATGAAATGGTGTAATAGGAAATCAAAACTTTGGTAAAAGAAAAGAAAACATTGTGGTCAAAAATTGCAACCAAAATCACAACAGGATAAAAATGAGTACAATAGAAAGAAAATATAATTAATGTAAAAAAGACAAGTAAAACAGAAACACATAAACTCAATCAGCGAAAGGTTTGTATGAGAATAAAAAACTAGACTGGACATCAATAAAAGACAAACACTATGGGTTATTTACAGTCACTAAAGAAATATTAAAAGCGTGGAAAGAACCCAATATACACCGTTACAATTAATGCAACATATCGCTAGAAACTTTTTAACAGAAAACAAGGAAAAATAAATAATGAAAGCCATGCAAAAAATGCCTGACAAAAACAAAAAAATATCAAGAGAGTGGGAAAATACATATGTATAATAAGAGGAGAAGACAAATTGAGTTCAATAAGTATAGAGCCATATGTTTGGCCTAAACCAGATTTAAACTATACACAAGATAAATGACAAAAGGAACACATATTCCAGAAATTAGATGAATATCAGGCACCGTTTATATCAGAAACTTAGGCAAATGATAACCTATGCATTTTGAGAAACTTGAAAGAGAGAAAAATAGAAGATGGCGATGAAATGTTTTTGACTTTCATAGACCTAAAAGTAGCTTTCGACACAGTAAAAAGACATAAATATGTTAGTTAATCGATTAGGAAGTAAATGCGGCTTAATAATAATACTCTTCCTAATTTACCTCTTTACGAGTGAATTTTATCACCTGAAGCCGACTAAGCGACTTGTGCAGGAGATGAAATAGCTATTATTATTTGCCGTGGCGCCTCGGGTCGACTTAAAGATGATTGATGGTGCTATTTGACTTACAGGTAAGGAAATATCAGAAAATTCCACCTACCATCATCTAAACGTTAATGCGTAGCGATTTTTATAATGTGGATGTCCAACAGAAATTAAATGCTAATACCGCATCCAGCAAGTCCTTGCAAATCAAATCGCATGGCATTTCATACGACAGTGTGTTTCTTACCACAAAATTGCTTGCAAATGAATGCGAGCATCTTAGACACATACGCCACTGTTTCAATAATCAGATGGTTGTTTAGTTAACCACACCAAATATTTAAAGAAAATGTATTTTGCCATTGACTGTTTTATAATGTGTAAATTTTATTGTTATTAAAAATTCCTTAAATTGTTCTATTCCAAATAATCCAGATGGAAAAATATTTCTTAATAAATTAATCGCCTATCACCAATCTATATACATGTAGAATTAATACAATTAATTCCTTTTAATGTTCGCCAAACAGTAACATGCGATAATTTTTGGTTCATTTTCAACTATACTTAGAAATATTTTCTTCTACATTAATCTTTGGCATTCTATTATGTTTATAGAATGTTGATGTTGGAAAACGACCGTGTAGTTTAATAAAATTAAAAATTATTAAAAAATGTTGATTATTCAGTTGACGTCCAGGAAACCTTCTCTCGTATACCCTTACAGCTGCTCTACTATTACTAAACAAAATATTTAATTACCTTATGTTTTAATACCTCTTTTGCGCAGTGATGTATTGCTGCTATTTCTGCCTGGAATACTCTCGCATGTTTACCTAAGCATAGTGAGATTCCTGTCTTTGGCTTGGTACTATATATACCTACTCTTGAACCTTTATGCATTTTGAAGGCATTTGTATACCAGGTAAATTCTTCTGTCCGCGTTTCCCGGTCTGGTATACTTACTTTATATTGCTTATGAAAGCTATACTTTGGGAGTATTTCGTCTGAAAGAATTCCCATTATTTGGTCGTTCTCCAACTTTTTATATACTTTGCTATAGTCACGTCCATGCAAACTGCCTACGGGCGATGAACGTTTGTGCCTTGAATGCATGTAGTGGTGTTTGATTTAGTATTACTTCTAGAGCTGCTGTTGGATTCGTTATCATGTCTCCCGTGGTACTCAGGCATCTAACAATATTCACTAATTATAACTGAGAAATTATATAACCGATTAAAGTTCTCTTCCAAAAATATTGTAAAGATATTGAGAATTGTAAATAGGATGACTTCTATCACGTATTGTGTAACGGGCAAAGTAAATTCACGTGTTTCAGATTTTAAGTTTGAAGAAAGCTATCTTGCAGTAAAAAAATTCTGAAAATGTCCATTCTGTAAATATTGGGTATAAGAATTTAAAGATTTCGAAGGATACAAGGCTGGTAGATATTTCATTTGGAGAAATTGGGGAAACTGATATGTAGGAGTATTTGATCTGTCCCGAAGGGCGAACATTAGACATAGCAAATACTATTATTCTAAACATAAAGTTTAGATTGGGTTACCTTGTTACAGGGTCAGTAATTTAATTCAGGTATAATTGCAGTAAAGGATACATCAGCAAATGTAATATTTCTGCAAATGATGGGATACAAGAACAAGTTAAAAGATTTTGGGTAATAGAAGAGTATTTGCAAGTAAAAGTTCCATTCTAGAAAGAAGCAAGTTTACGAGGATATTTTTAGGGATACAAGAAGAAAACAGGATGTTAATTCGTAGTGACCTTGCCAATTAAACAAAGGGGTGTTGGTTTTGTCTGCTTTATTTGGTACAGCTTTAAAAAGGTTTAATCATTTAGAATTAAGATTTGCCAAGGATACTAATTTCAAAGAGATCTATTGTTACTATATGGATAAGTATGCTATTTGGATCATGTGAAATAAGATAGGAGATTATGTTAAGGAGACGCCAGTATAATTAAATTAAGGGTAGTGTTCACTGCGAGTACAGCAAAGTTAAATACTGTATTCTAGGACCGTAGCTACAGGATGGTTATTTATATGTTAGTATTTTTGGCGACATCAAGGGGTTATTACTAATCAGCAAAAAAACCCATATTTCGTGCAAAAATTGTTTTATTTAAAAATGCAGAGCTACTTGCCATTAACCTCTGTAATGATGTATCGAAAATGTATAAACATGTAGAGATAGATGTAAAGCATGGAAGTTAGAATGTATTTTTTGGCGAAATTCTAGAAATAAGGGTGCATGGTAGTACATTCTAAGTGTATAGATTGATTAGGATTATTTTGGAGAAGAGAATATAATGTTAGATTAGGCAGAATTTATTTTCAAACTACAATTTATGAAGATATGGAAGGTTCGAATCCAGCCGTGGTCATGCATTTTTTTCTTTTGATTTATTTCTACCCTATAAGATGGATAATGTAAATATTATATTTATAATAATATACTACAAGGAGTTATGATCATAATAAGTTGCTTACCTTTAAATGATACAATTAAATGACCAATACCACCGACATTACAAATTATAAAAGCTAAAATAATGGTACCGATCGTCGCGGCAAGTGAAATATTTAAACTGCTCGTCTCCGAGGATCTAGGATATAATCCTAAGAAACTTAAGGACATCAAAGTCGAATAGTACGGTTGGTTTTTTGCAATATAGTAATACATTGTTTCGATTAATAATGCAAAACTGGGGAATAAACTATGAACGAGGAATAATAACATTTGATATTTAATATATATCTATGCATGTTGAATAATTTATGGTTTATAATACGATTTTATTCCAAATCAAATTTATCATTTAATATGAACAATTTAAATATATACATTATGATATTGAGCTTTAATATTAAAAAAAAGATTACATTCAAATGTTTTGATTAAAACGTTTTGCTTTGATGATATACGATATACGTGGTGGGTAATCCATTAGTTATGATCTAAATTTTTTAAATTTTAATTTTTTGTTTAAAAAATTAGTCTATTTATTGCCTTCATTTCATTCGCTAGCATTTATATATAAATTTTCACAAATTAATACCTTTATTGGTTAGTGAAAATTTCTAAATATAATTATTTAAATAAATTATTTTAATAACAAATATATGGCACTGTTAGCATTCATGTTTTTTACTATATTTAAAAAAAAACAGAATAATTTTAAAGAAAATTGTAATGAGCATTGCACACACACTATATACGAGTTGTGCAGTGTATACTGTTGCATCGCATAGGAGATTGTTTATTCGTTAATGTTATAATCTGATTAATATGTCATTTTTATAACTACAGTTATTTGCTGAATAAAGCTAAGTTTCGGTCGTCCTCTATTCCTGTATGACAAACATCCAATTTTATTTGTTATATTTTGACTTATTATTTATAATTGAATATGCAAATAACTTGGATAAATTTGGATTAACAAACAAATATAAAAAGAAGAATAATAGAAGCGGGGACCGGTTTCAATCCAATCTAATATGGTTAATCGAAGCAGCGGACCAGCTTAGCAAGTTCACAATTGTATATCGATATATGGAGTTAAGTCAGGCCGAGCGCAGTCACTAGTTGGATGGGAGACCACCTCCATGAAAATCAACGTACGTCCGAACAAACTACTCGCGTAGTTGCATACCACAGCAGGCAGGCGTTATATCAAAAGTACGAAGTAAAGTATGGGGTGTCATCTTTCGAAGGGATATAAAGCCGTAGGTCCGCAATCCATGGATGTTGGGATCGTTAAAGATCCCTATGTCTGGTTGAAACATCAGATGATTTGGCCAAATTTCCGGTATTTTGGGGGTAACGTGCTCACCAGCATCGGTGTTTAAACCTCGTAGTTAAAAATAGGCCGTGGTTAAATAAATTAATAATAAAAAAATAATAATAAATCACATGTTTTTTTTTTCAATATGTTTAGAATACATTTACCGATTTATTAAAAATACAATTAAAATTTGTAATTTTTTCACTTCACCTTCGTTTAACTCGCTGACTACTGAAAACTTCATCGAAACCTTATTATGTATAACTGTAACACTAACTTATAATATACTTTACAGGTTTAAAATTCCCTTTTTAACGCAAACCTGTCGTTAATTTGATTTTTAAAATAATTTTATTTGTTTTGTAAATTTCGAATTATATTTATTTCAAACAAATGTAACAAAAAACACAAAAATAAAGTAAGTTAATTTTAATATTTTAGATAAATAGCTGCTAAAACTTATTTCACAAGTTAGATTACGATGCCACCCTGTTATAATGATTTTTTGACTATGATTTCATGTATATTTCTAAATTATATTTCTAAATATTTTTATGTTCCATTCCATTGTCTTTAGTTTTACACTTACTTACACTTACTATTACTATTCTGTCATGCTGCAAATGACTATTTACATAGATTTTTAATTTTTTTGTGATATTATTTTAGTTTGAAGTAATTAACTATTCGTAAAGGAAAATCAAATTGATATTCTATAAAGAAACCAAGATATATTTTAAATATTTCAAAAAATCATAGATAAGGCCCTTTTCTCTTAAGACGTCAGTTTTTACTACAATTTATAGTTAAATCTAACATTTTTAAAATAAATCGGTAGATAACTAAATGTTTCATCAAATTCGCAGACCTAACGCAAAATACAAAAATTCTGCAATGGAACTGCCTTTCGGCAGTTTCTAACAAAGAAAACTTAGAGTTTTTACTTTTTCACAACAAAATTAGTATCGCGCTACTATCATAAACTTGGTTTAAATCAGGTCGTTATTACAATTTCAAAGGTTTTAATTGCTTTAGAACAGACCGTGCCGACGGTTACGGTGGTACAGCTATACTTATAAAAACACACTTGCATGTTGAAGAAATTCAATTTAATCAAAACTATCCATTTTCTTATAAATGCATCTCGCTTAAATCCTATCCATCCAAAAAACCTCTTAATATAGTTTCCATTTATAATTTACCTAGGAATAATGTTCCGATGCAACAATGGATACATTTCTTTGAAAACATACCCAAACCGTTTATAGTAGGCGGAGACTTCAACGCACATAATATCTCATGGGGCTGTGAAATTGATGATACGTATGGAAAGAATCTGTTAAGCGCGATTGATCATTGTGAATTAATAATTTTAAATAATGGTTCACCTACGCTCACTACATCTAATACCCCCTCTGCTGTTGATCTGACAATCTGCTCTCAGGATGATGAAGGTTTTTTGAAATGGAACGTTCTCGATGACCCACATGGATCCAACCACCTACCCATCATCGTTACATTGAAATTAAATTACGCACCTAGATATATTCCTCAAAGTAAACATAAAATATGGAATCTTAATAGAGCCAACTGGGATTTATATTCATCCAATTTAGAAGTACTGGAGCCTCCACAAAATTATGAAGAATTAATTATAAACATAAATAAATCAGCAGCTTCCGCAATTCCAAAATTTTCAAATACTAGTTTTAAGGGATTTGTCCCGAAACCCTGGTGGAATGAAAATTGTGAGATTGCCGCAAAAAATAGAAAAGATCCGATACAAATTAAACCCAACAGTTGACCACTTGATCGAATTCAAAAGACTGGATGCCGTAGCAAAACAAACATTCAAACAGAAGAAGAAGCAAAAATGGACCGAATATTGTGAAAGTCTTAACTGTAAAACTCCTATCAAAGAAGTGTGGCAAAAGGTAAATAACTACAAAAATCTCAAACAAGCAAATAAACTTCCAGTTGACCCTGAAGCGAGCTGGCTAGAAGATTTTCATAAAAAAAATTCTCCTGTCTGGGTTCCAAACTCAAATTTCCAAGAACAAGTTTTAACTGTTCCAAGAAATGACTTTAATCTTGAAGATCCATTTCACTTGTGGGAACTAAACGGTGAACTTAAACAAAACAACAATAGTATCCCAGGTAAAGACAATATATCGTACTCCATGATAAATAACTTGCCGCATGAACAGAAGAAATCATTCCTTCAGTTGCTAAACGATATATGGCAAAAAAGATCGCCTATTCCTGATAGCTAGAGAAAGTATATTATAATCCCAATAAAAAAACCAGGAAAACCAGAAAAAACATAAATTCTTATCGTCCTATTTCACTAGCTTCCTGCGTCCTAAAAACTTTAGAAAGGCTTATCAAAACCAGACTGGAACAGTGGATCGAACATGAAAAGATTTTCCCCAATTCACAATATGGCTTTCGCAAAATGAGAGGTACTCAAGACGCTATTACAGAATTAGTAACACATGTACAACTGAATTTTACAAACAATGCTACAAAATTCACGCCATTTGAAATTACTAAAAGCCATATTAATAACCTAGATCCATTCGATCTCGATGATCATCACATTCTTTCCTTTTATGTTCAAACCCACAAGGAAGGTAGCAAACAACTTTATAAAATGATCAAAGAACGTAATGAAAAAGTCAAAGAAAATTTAATTAATTTTTGCTATCCACGACCCTATCTCAAAAGCCGAATCCTTAGAATTTTATCAAATATATCCCGTCATCCAAAATAATAAAATGTTCACACCTTCATACCCATACTTGGCAAGGAACAAAGAAGAAGTCCAATTGAAAAAAGAAAAATGCCCAAAACTTGCTAAAATGCTTACTATTTTCACAAGATTTTATCCCGAGGGATTAATTGTACTTTACAACTTCTTGATGGCCAGTTACCAGAAGAATGCTACGCCACTGAAATAAATTTGCAAAAATCAGTATTCGAACAAGTTGCTACAATGATTGTTCCCAAAGAACCAGAAAACGTTAAGTCGTATTGTAGAAGTAACCAAATTTTCAAAATTCAGAATTCAACCCTTATTCGCATTCTAGAAGGCTGTAAAATCACGTCAAGAGATTTTACATTTTCAAATAAACAAGAAATTAAAAAGGCAAAAACGCTAATTCTACCAAAACTCAAAATTGAACTTTTTAAAATTCGAAGAAATTATCAAACTTCAAATATTAGTAAAATAAATTTTGACAACCTATACGAAATCAATAGAATCGCCAAACAGCTAACGCCAATAGATGAACCAAAGGACTCTTACCAAATTCCAATATTAGCAATATTTTCAACGTTAATAATCTTATGTATAATGGTATTTTTATACATTTTTGTAAGAAGAAGATGCCAAAATTCAAAAACGAAAGAAAAGGAAGCCCTCAACATGGAGGAAATTCCAAAAAATTCGAACCGCAAAAATAACTCCCTTATTGTTGCGTCTTAGGGACGGAGGAGTTACGTGAGCGTATACAGCTGACATTCGGACTCCTTATCTATCATATTGTATTTCAATGCTTAGCTAGTTATTTTAATCTTTAACATTAATTTTCTAGTTTATTAGATTAGATTTTGTCTAGCCTTTGTCAAGTAAAGACGTACGTAATTTTAATTAATAAAATTGTTCTTAAAAAAACTGTATCAGTTTTAAAATACCTATTTCTGTAATTGTCAGTTGAACCAAAATTATGTCATCACTAATTTAGCGTATTGAAACGAAATATTAGAATGTAGATTTCTTCTATTTTTTTTTTTTTTTTTTTTCTAAAAAACATTGCTGTACCATGTTGGTACTGAATATCTTCTTTTTAATCGATTAAAACATTCAAAAATTTTAAAAACTCTCGTTTAACAAACT